TCATAAAGTCCTCACTGGGTTTACACTTCTGAATGTGTCCATATTTGCAACAAACAGAGGCATTTATGGAAGAGAGACCCATGTAAGAATTATAAACATATGTTAAGGGTAAAATTCTCTAAAATATTTTATGTTGCTAAGAGTAAAATTTGCATATGGAAGAGAAAATGGTTTGTATAATGAGGGAAATGTGTCACTTTTAGAGAAGACTGCAAGCAAAAATGTGAAATACTAGCTATTTATAACTTTTAACTCAATCAGTATGGAATTTCCTCAAAAAACTAAAAATGGAACTGCCTTTTGACCCATCATTTCCATTGCTGGGAATATACCCTAAGAATCCTGAAACACCAATTCAAGAGAACCTATTCACCCCTGCATTCATAGCAGCGTTATTTACAACAGCCAAGTGCTGGAAACAGCCTAAGTGCCCACCAGTAAATGAGTGGATCTAAAAACTGGTACATTTACACAACAGAATATTACACAGCAGAAATAAAGAAGGAGCTCCTATCTTTTGTAACAACATGGATGGAAATGGAGAGAATTATGCTGAGTGAAATAAGCCAGGCGGTGAAAGACAAATACCATACGATCTCACCTGCAAGTGGAATCTAAACGGCAAAACAAACAAGTGAGAAAAATACAACCAGAGACTTGGAAATAAAAAACAAACTGACAGTAACCAGAGTGGAGGGGAAAGGGGGATAATGGGGGTAAATGGGGGAAGGGTTGTCAAGGAACATGGACAAAGACAATTCAGTGGGGGAGGGAGGATCGAATGTGGGAGATGGGAGTGGGCAAGGCAGGGGAGAGTAATGGGGGGAAATGGGGACAATTATAATTGAACAATAAAAATAATAATTAAATCTTATTTTTTCCCTATTTTGGGGGAAGGAATTAATAACTAGGCAGAAACAGAAAATGTGGTGGAATTTTATTGGAATTCTTTTTCTTTTTTTATTTTTTAAAATATATTTTATTAATTATGCTACTACTCTTGTCACATTTTTTTCTTCTCTTTATTCCCCTCCACTCTGCACTCCCCTCCTACCAGCATTCCCCTTGACCCCTACCTTTAGCTCATGTCCATTGGTCGTATGTATAAGCTTTTTGGCTTCTCCATTTCCTATACTGTTTTAACCTTACCTTGTCTATTTTGTACCTATCAATTATGCTTCTTATTCCCTGTACCTCTCCCCCTATTCTTCTCCCTCCCTCTCTCCATTAATAACCCTCCATGTGATCTCAATTTCTGTGATTCTGTTCCTGTTCTAGTGGTTTGCTTAGTTTGTTTTTGTTTTAGGTTCAGTCGTTGATAGTTGTGAGTTTGTTGTCATTTTACTGTTCATATTTTTGATCATCTTCTTTTTCTTAGGTAAGTCCTTTTAACATTTCATATAATAAGGGCTTGGTGATGATGAATTTCTTTAACTTGACCTTATCTGGGAAACATTTGATCTGCTCTTCCATTCTAAATGATAACTTTGCTGGCTAGAGTAATCTTGGATATAGATCCTTGCCTTTCTTGACTTTGAATACTTCTTTCCAGCCCCTTCTTGCCTGTAAGATTTCTTTTCAGAAATCAGCTGATAGTCTTATGGATACTCCTTCGTAGGTAGCTGTCTCCTTTTCTCTTGCTGCTTTTAAGATTCTCTCCTTATCTTCAATCTTGGATAATGTAATTATGATGTGCCTTGGTGTGTGCTTCCTTGGGTCCAACTTCTTTGGGACTCTCTGAGCCTTTTGGACTTCCTGGAAGTCTATTTCCTTTGCGAAATTAGGGAAGTTCTCCTTTATTATGTTTCAAATAAGTCCTCAATTTCTTGCTCTTCCTCTTCTCCTTCTATGGAGGAGGTACCCCTATGGTTAGGATGTCAGAATGTTTAAAGTTGTTCTGGAGGTTCCTAAGCCTCTCCTCACTTTTTTTAATTTTTGTTTCTGCATTCTGTTCTGGATGAATGTTTATTTCTTCCTTCTGCTCCAAGTCATTGATTTGAATCTTGGTTTTCTTACGAATGGTTCTTTACCTTCACTGTTGGTCTCCTGTACATTTTCCTTTATTTCACTTTGCATAGCCTTCACTTTTTCCTCTATTTTGCAACCATACTCAACCATTGCTGTGACCTCATGAGTACCAGTGTTTTGAACTCTGCATCTGATAGGTTGGCTCTCTCTTCATAGCTTAGTTGTATTTTTTTCTGGAGCTTTGATCTGTTCTTTCATTTTGGCCATAATTTTTTGTCTGGGCATGCCTGTTACATAGTAAAGGGCAGAGCCTTAGGCATTTGCCAAGGCAGGGCAACCCACTTTGCTTCATTATGGTGCTGTATGTTGGAGAGGGAACAGTGCCACTTGCTCAGCTTTTGGCTGGCTTTTAGTTACTTCCCCCACAACCCACAGGCAAATTGGACCCTTCTGGTGATGATTCCCAGGTGGTTGAACTTGTGTACATTCTAGAACCCTGTGGGTCTCTCCAATAGACTCTCCAGTGAGGCTGGGAGTTTCTCCTGCCACTGCAACTCCCACAGATTTTTATAGTCAGAGGTTTTGAGGCTTTATAACCTCACTGGAGGTTCCTCACTGGAACCCTGAATTGAGTAGTCTGTCTCGCTCCCCAGCTGTTCCTCCTGGCTTATCCAAATATAAATGTGGGACTGCCTGGTCTTCCAATTGTTGCCTTGCCACAAGCCCGCTCCACCCCAGCTGCCCATCTCCACACCTCCTATCAGTCTGGATAAGTGTTTCTTCTTTAACTACTTGGTTGTAGGACTTTCATACAGTTCAATTTTCTGGCAGTTCTGGAGATTTTTTGTTTTAAAACTTGCTAGTCTTCTTTTGGTTGTATAAGGTGGGAAAATATATCTACCTATGCCTCCATCTTGGCTGGAACTAAAATTATCTTTCTAGAGAAATCTACACACTAACCAAAGGGTAATCATTTGAAATTGAGACTTCACTTGAAGTAGAGCCAGCTAGTGTCACATAGCTATCCAAATCTTAAGTCTGAACAACCTTTTGGCTCTTGGCCAAAAGGTCTTACTGTGATAGGAAAAGGCAGAGAAGGCAGATAAGGAAAATGAAATGAGCAAAGGAAGGATACAAATCCAGTGAAAAAATAGTGTCCATACACTCATAGAACCTTAGCAGCAGAGGTTTCTGTATTTCTTTTTTTAAAATATTTAATTTAATTTTTAATTTATTTTAATTGGTTATCAAGTATAGTTCTCTGTCTTTTACTCTCATCCCAGCTCACCCCTGCAGTGCTCCCCACCTCCCTCCAATTTCCACCCCCCTTGTTTTTGTCCAGGTGTCTTTCATACTTGTTCCTGTAAATCCTTCCCCTTTTCCCCTGAAATTCCCTCCCCTCTCCCCTCTGGTCACTGTCAGCCTGTTCTCTATTTCAGTGTATTTGGTTATATTTTGCCTGCTTGTTTTGCTGTTTACATTCTTGTTAAAGGTGAGATCATATGATATTTGTCTTTCACCACCTGGCTTATTTCACTCAGCATAATGCTTTCCAGTTTCATCCATGCTGTTGCAAAGGGTAGGAACTTCTTCTTTCTTTCTGCTGCATAAAATTCCATTGTGTAAATGTACCATGTTTTTTTAATCCATTTATTTATTGATGGGCACCTAGTTGCTTCCAATACTTGGCTATTGTAAATTGTGCTGCTATGAACATTGGGGTGCATAGGTTCTTTTGGATTGGTGTTTCAGGGTTCTTAGGATATAATTCTAGCAGTGAAATTGCTGGGTCAAAAGGCAGATTCAATTTTAGTTTTCTTAGAAAGTCCCATACTGTTTTCCATAGTGGTTGTACCAGTCATCCCACCAATAGTATACTAGGGTCCCCTTGTCTTTACAACCTCTCCATTGCTTGTTGTTTGTTGCTTTGTTTATGATGGCCATTCTGACCATTGTAAAGTGGTATCTCATTGTGGTTTTAATTTGCATCTCTCTGATAGCTAGTGATATTGAGCATCTTTTCGTGTGTCTCTGGATCCTCTGTCTGTCCTCCTTGGAGAATTGTCTGTTCAAGTGCTTTGCCCACTTTTTAATTGGGTTGCTTGTTTTCTTAGAGTGGAGTTGTGTAAATTCTTTGTATATTTTGGAGATTAAACCCTTGTCTGAGGTATCATTGGCAAATATGTTTTCCCATACAGTTGGTTGTCTTTTTATTTTAATGTTTTCTTTAGCCATGCAAAAACTTTTTATTTTGATGAGATCCCATTTGTTTATTCTTTCCTTTATGTCCCTTGCTCTAGGGGACATATCAGTAAAAATGTTTCTGTGTGAAATATCTGAGATTTTCCTGCCTATGTTCTCCTCTAGGACTTTAATGGTGTCACAGTTTATATTTAAATCTTTTATCCACCTTGAATTTATTTTGGTGTATGGTGTAAGTTGGTGCTCAAGTTTCATTTTTTTTGCACATAGCTGTGCAGTTCTCCCAACACCATTTGTTGAATAGGTTATTTTTACTCCATTTTATGTTGCTGCCCCCTTTGTCAAAAATTAATTGACCATAGAGACTTGGGTTTATTTCTGGGCTCTCTGCTGTTCCACTGGTCCATGTGTCTGTTTTAATGCCAGTACCAGGCTGTTTTGATTACAGTAGCCTTGTGATACAGTTTGGTAACAGGTATTGTGATCCCTCCTACTTTGCTTCTTCTTTCTCAAAATTGCAGCAGCTATTCAGGGTTGTTTATGGTTCCAAATAAATTTTTGAAGTGTTTGTCTATGTCTGTGAAATATGTCACTGGTACTTTAACAGGTATTGCATTGAATCTGTAAATTGCTTTGGGTAGTTTGGACATTTTGATGATGTTAATTCTTCCAGTCCACGAACACGGTGTATGCTTCCATTTGTTTATGTCTTCCTTAATTTCTTTCTTCAGTGTTGTGTAGTTTTCTGCATATAGGTCTTTTACCTCCTTGGTTAGGTTTATTCCTAGGTATTTTATTTTTCCTTTTGTTATATAAAATGGGATTTTTTTTCTTGATTTCTGCTTCTTAGCAGCAGAGGTTTCTTAGAGGTCACCTAATTCTGTCCTCCCAACCATGTTGCAGTAAGTGGCCACCCTGGCCCACCTCCACTTAAGGCAGTATTTACAACTCACCTGCTCTAACTGGTAGATGCTTTACCTCACAGTGAGTCCAAATACCTCCCTTTAGATTTGATGGGCCCTGGTTCTGTCTTCTGGAATACCTGGATCACTCTTCTCCATCTCTGGCTTGACAACCTTGCAAATATTCAAGACAGCTGACATCTCTTTTCCTGCCTTAAAATAAATGGATAATCAGAAACAGTTAATATGTCTGAGGTTTAGGATGGCTGGGCCGTTCTGGGGAGTGCCGCACCAGCCCCATTCCCTCCCTGTGGGGGAAACAGCCTGACAACATACACAAGAGTCCTAAAATAGATTTATCCATTTGTTTGTCCTAATCTCAGTTTGGTCAAAAGGCTGAAGAAAAAATTCTAATGCTATCTTGAAAGCTTTGTTTTTAATTGAAAGCTGAGTAAATTCTAAAGTCATGCATTGTGATATGATTTTTAAATTGCTACTTTTCATGATTAGCCCAGTTTTACATCCTTGGTTTTATAAACCAAAAAGAATAAATTCAGTACAAATAACAGATTAACATGATGCTTTGATAATGCTTACAACAAGAAAAGTTGTTAATTTATATTTACATTTTTAAAAAGGAATCCCAGAGATACAGACTAACAGGGACTTGCAATTTGAATGTAAAATAGCAGGTATTGGTACAGAAATCACCCAATCAATACCTTTTTGGGACATTGACTGGTGGTATGTTCCTGAAATTTACTTTAAAATACCTTACTATGGACGGTGCTTTACTTTTAGTGTACAGTATCAGCTTCAGAGTGCACCCAAGTGATGGTGACTCCCATTTGAAGTGCCCCGATTAGGAACACGCCATGGAGATGGTTCTCCAACGTTGGAGGGATGGACATCAGGTCTACACTCCCAGAGGAACTCCTCCGACACCTCAGCTGGCTTGCTTCTTAGTTTTTAATCAACACCAGACTTTTTAAATGGTTATATCACTAGAAATATATTTATGTTAATTAGAAATAATTTCCTTATGGATAAAATTAGTCGTGATAAAAATGTGGATTTGCTGAAAATATTGTACAAACATTCTGGCTCTTGCATTCACAGGGTGTAAGAATTTCACAATGCAAACAATGGTAGTCTTCAGAAAGACACTCCTGACTTCTGCCTCTGACCACCATAGGCTCAGATTTGGAAGGTTCTGGTCACTTGACTTCTATTAAAAGTTAGATAAATACTGCTACTATAATAAATCTTTCATTCAAGGCACCTAAAAGGGTAGCAATCTGGGACTTTGTCAGGTTTACAGACGCTCTGCATGACTGCTTTTGTGATGACTTGCCTGTATGTGTGGCAGAGTTCTGAGACTTACTTAGATTAGATCATTCTACCTGGTAGCAAGTATATGGAGAAAAGACATGGCCTTCTCTCACCTGTAGTTATTGAAGATGTGTTGGACTGGATTATTGTTCAAAAACATCCACTTTCCCTCCAAATTCCCACACACCCATGGAAGGAATATGCTTTCCTATTCTTTGACCTTGGAATGGCTATGGGATGTGTTTCAGCCAACGTAATATTCATGTCACCATACAAGCAGAGGCTTGAAATGTGCTTGTACTGGAGGGTTGGGCTCTCAAATCTGGGCCAAGACCTTGAGAGGAACATGCCCTAGGTGGCACTATGGGACAAGAAAGCTGAGAAACGCAGGGCGCTGCTGTCATTGGACCCAGCCTACAGCTCAGTTGCCCAGGCATTGAATGAGCCATGGCAGCAGGCCCACAGAGAAACTTGTGTGTACTGTTGATATTATGCCACCGAGATATTATGGTTGTTTATTCTGTGGCAATCACTGATTGGTGTATGAGGCTACCTATATTTACCTCCCAAACCTAACAACTGTGGAAGTTCAAATCAGATTAGGTAGTAGGCATTTTACAAATATTGCTTCATTTAATTCTCATAAAAAATCTGGGAGGTAAGTATTATTTTTCCTATTGTATAGATGAAGTAAGCAAGGCTAAGAGAGACAAAACAACTTGATCCAATCACACTACTAGGAAAAGAGAATGGGAGTTAGTTTCAATCTAGACTGGAGAGTCCATCCGTTCCCACTACACTTAATTGCTCACTCCCACCAACTCGCACAGATTGAACTGAATCTTAACTAAACCTACATCTATGTGCATAGCAAGAGGGACGAGAATTGAGCCCATGAACTAGTGAGGGGCCTTCATGTGCACATTCATTTAACACACATTTAATGAGCACCTACTATGTGCCAGTGTATTGTGGTATGTTTTGGGGGTTTAATGAGAAGCGTGACAGATCCCGTCCTGCCCTCACAGGGATTGCACTCTCATTACAGAGGTGTTTGTTAAATACATGCTTCAAGTTTTGTTTGTGGTGTAAGAATTCTGGCCTCATTTTACACTGTGTGTATAAATAAAAGCCCTAGACTAAGGGAACTCCCTATCTCTGTGTGGGTTTTAATGGGGCACCTAGTCACTAACTGGGATGCAAGTAATAAATACTCTTAGAAATGCATTCATCTGCTAATGATAACTCTGGGTGGCTGTTCCACAGAGTTCTCCCATATGTTAATAGATCAAAGAGTTTGGAAAGAACAAAGTGACTCCTACTGATCTACAGGGAGAAAAAAAGTAATGGGAAATTATAATTTTTATTAATAAACATTATTAAACTCAGATGATTTCTGAATTTTAGAATAATCTACTGAAAGAATGGTAAACCAGGAAATATTAAAAATTATAATTAAAGAATGGGAATGACATTTAGTATCAGAGCATCACAGCAGCTATCTGAGCAGCACACTAAATGAAGTGAATTATTTCTACCGTAATAATGGTATTTGGTATAATAAAATGGCATACTAGAAATCTAATTGCACCCTGCCACAGAGTTAAAAAAAAAAAAACCCACAGTGATAATGTAAAAATATAGGAAGAATAGCTATGATCTGTATTTTTAAAAGAACATGGTAATACTACTATATGGTTCAATTTTCAGATACCAGGATTTAATATACTAAGGAAAGACAGAGAAAATGAAAATTGGGGAGGCATTTGAATAGGTGCTTTAAGAAGGGGATTTGCAACCGAACAGAAGCGGGCTGATGCTGATTACACTTTAATGTGAGATAAAGTAAAGATGGAGCAAATCCAAAGTAAAACATAATTATAAGTTTCCACATAATTCCTGGCAAAAATATGAGAGATTAGATTCCAGAATTGTGTTAGTAGCTTCATACTTTTGCCATTCACATTTACCCACTGTGTATTAAGCATTGTCAGAAAATAGATGAAAATATATTCATACACAGAAATAATTATAAAGGTATTTAATAAGGTATCTGGATTTTAAAGTTTTGCCTTCTTTCTGAAATAGAAAAAATCATAATTACAACTTATAATAGAAAATAATCCATGTAAACATCAGAGTGAGAGTCAGACAGAAAGCTATGAATTCATTTTTATTTTATTTTTTTTTAAAGATTTTATTTATTTATCTTTGGAGGGGAAGGGAAGGAGAGAGGGAGAGAAATATCAATGTATGGTTGCCTCTCACGAGTCCCCTGCTGGGAACTGGCTTGCAACCCAGGCATGTGCCCTGACTGGGAATCGAACCGTGATCCCTTGGTTCACAGGCCTGTGCTCAATCCACTGAGCTACACCAGCCAGGGCTTGAATTCATTTTTAAATAGAAAAAAATTAAGTGCAAACTACTTTCTCTATTTAGAAAGCATAAACCATGCATTATACTACCCCTTGATTTCTTTTCACAGTATCTTTTGCATATATTGTCAAATTCCCATGGGAGCATATTTGGAAGGGAAGACAGGTAATTAGTCTTGAATGTTAATGGACCACAAACTCAGACGAGCAGTCCTAGCTCCACAATGACTGAGAAAGATGAGTATCATTCATTCTAACATAAAAACAAACATCAAATGGGAACCAAAAAAATCAACAGTCCTTAACTCACACGCCGACAATCGATAGATCTGATGTACTGCACACAGGCTTACTTCTCCTTCTCTGTTGCACTCCGCCTTATTGTGACTCACAGACACTGCATTTTTAACAAAGTGAAGGCAGGACCGTCCTCTAGCAGAATGACTATAAGTAGCTGAACGTTCAGATGATGGTTTACATTATTTAGCAATACAGTATTTTAAAATTAAGGTATGTACATTGCTTTAGACATAATGCTATTGCACACTTAGTAGACAAAAGTATAGTGTAAATGTAACTTTTATATGCACAGTGAAACCAAGAAATTTATTTGACTTGCTATATTGTGTTATTTGCTTTATTGTGGTAGTCAGGAACTGCACCCATAATGTCCCTGAGGTACATCTACATAGGTGAGAATAATAGCCTCATTTCAGGTGAGCATCTGAGAGTTGGGAATATCTGATTATGAAGAATCCGAAATTGGCTAAGTTAGTGTTCATAGAAACTGTTCATGAAATCTGACCAACATCCATTTTATGCTCTAAGAAACCAACAATGTGGTAATAATCAGGTGATTTGGGTGTCTTTTATTTGTCAGTCTACCCGCAATACAGAAGCAGGTGGCCGAACAAAATAAGCTTCTACTAGAAACCTGATGAACAATAAACACCATCTGTCAACGCTAAGTCCAATGTACTTTTATGAGCTGGGTGGAGGCGGGGAGAGGGAGAGAAGGAGAGAGAGACAGAGAAATGTGAAAATAACTAGAAAATAACTTTTTTAGAGATAGATGCAGACATTTTTACAAATAAAATTCAAAAAGCAAAATACAGAAAGCATTGTATAAATGTAAATAAAAGTTGCATTCCTACAGTAATGTCGTCTCTGAAAAACTTGTTTTAACTTTATGCATTACTAAGTATTTTCCTGAAATGTATAATTAAATAATATTGGCTTATATTTTATTTTGTATATTATTTATTATTTTTATCTTTATTGTATTTTTCTATTACCACTTAGTCCCCTTACATCCCCCTCCCCTAGCAATCACTGCACTTCGTCCATACCCATGACTCACATTTTTAAAAAGGATAAAGAGATGTTATTTTTATTATTATGTTACTTTCATAAATTCATTGTTAAATATATTGACATTTGAGGTGGTTAGAGTACTAGAACACCTAGATACAACTATGAGTTTAGGAGAATGTATATTTTACTTCTGATTATAATGGTATTACATTTGGAGCAATTTGGATAATAAGAATAATTAAAAGAAGAAATTGACAAATCTTTCATACAGATTGTAGGTATTATCATTCTGACACATTATCATTTTGGCACTCTTACAGCTTTTTAAAAAATATATGTATATTATGTTATAAATTTGTGTCCTATTTTTTGTAATACTACATCAGAAATATTTTCCTATTCAATTAAAATTTTTAATACAAATCATTTTTAATTGCTGTATAATATTTCATTACATAAGTGGGCTACACATTAATGTTTATTTATATATTCATTTTTGTGACTTTTGATGACCTCAGAATAAACATCTTTACACTTCAGAATATTTTCTTTGTAAAAATCCTGAGAACTGTGATTGAGTCAAAGGCTAAATATTTTATGCACTGCTGTGGCAGACATCGGCTGGCCCTTTGCCAGACTTGTTCGATTCTCCTTCTGGACACAGAAACAGCATGTATTGCTCAGCCTCCGTCGTGGTTAGGTGAGCATACAAGAAAGAATTCTTTCCAAAAGAATGTGTCCAGAAGGGATAAAATGATGTACAATACTTCCAGGGCCACCTCTCACACTGTGCTCAACCTCTCTCTTACCTGTCTGCTGGCTGTGTGTCAGTGCAGAGTGAGCTGGGGTGGTTTTTGTTGAGGACCACAGGGCACCTGCCAGGCTGTCTGTGAAGCATGCTGGAGAAGAACCCTAATTTCACCTGCCTCTAACCGATACTATGTGAGTGAGAAATAAAATCACATTGTGTTAAGTGGCTGAGATTTGGGGGTTTATTCATTTTAGTGCTAGCACTATCTTAACTAATAAAGATATGGCATTGGAAGTAAGGTACAATTCTCTAATAAAAACCTACGTGAACTTGCCATTGGATGTGGAAACCAATAACTCCAAACATGGAGACCCATGTAATACAGAAGTTAACTATGTATTGAAAACGTCACTGGAGATAAGCCTGAAGAGGGACTAAGTACTCACTGCGTCTGTAGCTCTAGGGGAAGAAACCGGAAAACAGAATTTTGTGCTGTGCATTGGTTGTTACTAGTTTCTAGGAGAAAGATAGTAGAAGAAAAAATAAGTAAAAAAATAGCCAAATGGTTTTCAAGCAGAAATAAAATGAAATACAGAGAGAGAAAAATGGGGGAGGGGACATGAAAGAGCTGGAGAAACTATGTCTAGACCCCAAACAATAGAAAATAAGATTGAAAATGCCTTTAAGTGGTGGCTCTGTGACAAAGACCAGACGAAGGGCTTAGTGTCCTGTCCCAAGACTCCCTCTCTCCTGTAAGGCCTCAAGGATGCTGGCATTAAGTTGAGTGTATGTGAGAGACACAGGAGGCTGAGGAAGCAGGAGAGAAATCAGGATTAATGGTCATGTTCAGGAAAAAGTTTGGAGTGGGGTTCCTGGCTTGTGGGGCTGAGTGGAAGCAAAAGGATTAATAGCCTGCTAAGTAAACCATAGCCAACGAAATCAGAAGCCTGGACTGAACAAGTTGTTCACTGCTCAAGCCTTAAAATAATCCTTGGGTCTCCACACTGCACAAGTGAGAAATGAGCTGAAAAGCCATTGGGTCCCCGGAGGAAGTGTCCACTCCTGCTGCGAATATGGCCAAGATGGAGAAGGGGCCTCCAGAGGTCAAGGCCAGCAACCACAGAGGAAAATGGACAGAGAGGCTTCTTACGGAAAGTGAAGTTAAGGTCAAGGCAAGGAACTTCTCCACCCTCGAGGTAGGAGTCTTCAGAATTCCTCCCATGTCCAGAATGCTCCTTTCTTTTGAGTGAGGGGATTTCTTTTAGTAGTCGTCAAAAATCCTGTTTAGCAGTAGAAGTGAACAAAGTACTGATACAGGCGCTATGAGATGAATTTCAAAAACATTGTGCCAAGTGGAAAAAGCCAGACACAAAAGGCTGCATATTGTATGATTCCGTATATACGGCATATGCCCCAAATGCACATTGTTGAGGCAGAAAGTAGGTTAGTGGCTGCCTGGCCCTGGAATAGGAGGGAGGAGTGATTACAAATGGCCCTGAGGGATGTGGAAATATCCTAAAGCTGGGGTGTGGTGATGGTCGCACAACTGTGTTTACTTATTTAAAAATAGTGAATTTTACACTTAAAACAAGTACATTTTTGATATATAAGTTTATCTCAATAAACATTTAAAAAAATCTGCTTGTGAACATGAAGGAAAGTCATTTTAATACAAAGTAAGAGTAAACTTTGGCATAGCCTTTTTTGCGATATCAAGTAATATATATCAAAACTACAAATATTTATATTTTCTTACATAGCAATTCCATTCCTAGGAATTTGTTCTAAGGAGATAATTGGATACATGATACATAGTTATTTCTTACAAAGTTGTATACAATATTGGATAATTCTATTAACCTAAATGTTTATCAATAGGGGATTGGTTAGAAACATTAGGATATATCCAAACTGTAATAGCCCACAGGGGTGATTTTACCATGAAAATCTTCATGTATTTATGTAGAAAACTGTCCAACAAAACAAAAATGCAATTAAGGTACAGTGTTTATGGTATGGACCTGTTTACTTTACAAAAACATGGGGGGGTGGTAAGGGTGGAGGATACTAACTTTTACTTTCCCTGAAATATGTGATTCTTTTCAGATACAATGTTATCAGGAAAATAGAAGCAAAGAAATATACACTTTGGACATAACCTTATGTTAAAGTAAAACTATAACCAAGTGAAAATCTCACACTTTCATTTGGTATATTGGCAAATGTATATTAATTTGACTAAATTCAGGGATTCTCCCATTCCAGTTTGAAAATCACTATTTATGTGCAGGTGTTCAACTCATTTGATGTTAAATAACCCATTTGACATTCATCTTTATATTTTAATTTTTTTGACGTTGATGAAATAAATGGTATAATTCACCTTCATTAAATTTTTCCTATGGGTTGGTTTTCATTAATAAAGAGTTCCAAAAGTAAAATCCGGTCTGTAATCTGTGAGAGACTCAAGCCTGCGGCACAACATACAGGATTACAGGATCTTTTAACAAAATGAGCTAAAAGTGAGATGTGGTCTGGGGTGGAGGTCACTCTTCCGGTCTCGTCCTTCACAGTTACCGGAGAACTCTGCAAAGTAAATGTTTAGAAGCTAGATTCTTACTAGGAAGTAAAAGCAGAAGGAATTTATAAATTTCCTTTATACACAAAAGTAAATATTTAAGGAACTTCTATGTCAAATAGGCTGAAAAAAATAAATGTAGCTTTAATAGCTCTCTCTTACAGTAAGTTACAAACACATTTGCTTAAGAGATTTATAGTATTTATTGATGGGTGCTAAACTCAAAAGTAAAGGATCTTTCTGTACGTATGTCAACCAACTATAGGATAAAAATCAGTACATAGGTCAGATTATACATCTGAGTTTTCTGAGTAGGTTAGAGCTGCTACTGGGGGCAGACAACAGAAGAAAAGTCATCTCTTTCAAAGGCAATTATTTCCAGAGCTCCTCTGACATTAAGCAGCAGGGAGAAGCTGTGTGTTAGAAACTAGTACTGTCTTGTAGTTTATTTCAAAAAGGAGCAAAAACAGTATATTGGTACATATTCTAAGTTCCTAGTCATGTGGGTATTGATAAAAATTATGAATTTCAACTAATAAAACCTAAAAGGTGACAAATGAGTAATTGCACGTTGTTTGGAACCAATGAATATTCATGACAATAAAAATAGGAAGAGAGAAATATTTGGATACAAAGCACAGGACATTAACTGCCTAAAAAGTAGAAAATATTGGAGCTATTTGAGAAATAAAGCACTGGACTTTTATTTTATATAAAAAAACTACCATTCTTTTAAGTCCTTCTGTAAAAAAGGTAAAAGCTTGTCTTGCACTTTAATAGGAAACTTGCAAATTTTTAAACTGACAGATATTTAGTATTCTATCATAATTTTCAACAGGTTCTTATTTTTCCCTAGCTTCAAGATGCAATGGAAGTCTCATACTTTTTGACTGTGCAGTAGGCTGTGGCATTGTATTCTTTTTCCTTTAGATCAGATGCAGGAGAAATGTTTGCTTGAGAGGAAATTTTAGGGCCCAGGTGGCCACAGGGTTGGGCATTTCAAGGTCAGTGTTATTGTCTCTCTAACATTTCCTGGGTCTGCTTCTTTACCATTATTTTGGCCTCTAGGCAATTGTTTGCAGCCTTGGCTGCCATTGGAATCACTTGGGGAGTTTGGAAATAGTGATGCCTAGGTCTGACTGCCAGGAAGTCAGGTTTAATCTGCCTGGGGTGTGGCTTGGTCATCAGGACTTGAAACAAGTTTCCAGGTGATACTGATGTGCAGGCAAGGTGAGAGCCATGGGTCTAGTTAACAATATTCACAGCATGCTCCCAAGACAGAGCAGAGCAGCACTGGGAAATCATGAAGAATGGGAATCCCTAGACCTGACCCCAGACCTCCTGAGCCAGACGCATGGGAGCGGGTCCAACCCTCTGTGTTTTACCCAGCCTTTCAGGTGACCTGATACATGCTGACGTTGGGAACCACTGCTTTAAGAAACCAGCCTTTCCCTTATTGAGAATGAAGCAAGCAGAGCGAGTGAGCAAACGTGGCAGTTGTTCCCCTCTCCGATAGCTTAAGAGGATTTTGAAGACTTTTCCAAGGGTTGTGTTCCTTCACAGGTTTTACTGTGTGACTGGTGACATCATGTGAAGTATGTCTGTTATAAATGCTTTTCTTGGTTTCGTTCTCTGAATTGAGTATTTTTAGACTTGTCAACTATCTGTGTGTAGACACTAGTGAAAAACATGCTATTAATTATACCCAGTAGATGGCCTTCCATGTCTTCTGATAATGTAAAAACTGAATCTGAAAAGGCAATCTTACTACAGTAGAGCAACTGAGGGTTTTCTTTAATGTTCTAAAATCGTTTACTATGATCACTGTAACTATAGGTCTCATTAAGACCTCTAGTCAGAGAAATTGTTTAATAAGTATAAATTCCAAGGGAACAATAATATATGCCATCTCTTAGGTGGTAGAACATTCAAGTGAGGTACGTTTCTTCAGTAACGGCACTGTTTGTCCCCAACTTATCTTCCTTTCTGTATCTCTTACATATCGTACCAGTTTGCTACTGCTTTATAACAAGTGACAGCTAATTTGTGTCAGAAGCTTGAGCTGGGTATACGCAGGGCTAAAATCAAGGTGTCCTTCAGAACATTCCTTCGGGTGGCTCTGGAGCACAATCTTTTTTCTCGCTTTTTTCAGCTCATAAAGGCCACATGCCTTGGCTTGTGGCCCCTTCCTCCATCTTTAGAGCCAACAGTGTAGCATCTTTAAAGCTCTCTCTGACTTCAATCCTCTTTTTTCATTGTTATATCTTCTCTTTTCTGATCCATGAGTCTCCCTCTTGTAAGAATGTTTGCAATTACGCTGAACGAATTCAGATAATCCGGGATAACTGCCCATCCCAAGATGCTTAACTTAATCATATCCAAAATGTCCTTTTTTAAAAATATCAGGTAAGAATCACAAATTCTGAGGATTACGATGTGGACATCTTTGGGGGGCTGTTACTTATTCATCACACATATCAAGGGACAAAAGGAGGGGAACATTTTCTGATGAGAGACCCTTAGAGACTAGACTATAGTGAAGAATTGAAAAGTAGCTCCTTGGGGAGATCCACAAGCAGTATGTTTCAAATTGTGTGTGCTTAATGATCACCTGGCGATTTGTAAAAAATGTGTATTCCTGAGCCCCGTCCCAAAAGATTCTCATTCAGTGGGCCTGTGGTTCACTCTGCGCTCTGATTCAGTGCAGGTAATCCACAGATCCCACCTGGAGAAGCCAATGGGAGGGAGGTGGTGAAAAGCGCAGAATCTGAGACGACTCTCAGGCAACATCATGACTGATTCTGAGTAAACATCAGAATTACTGGAGGAACTTGAGCCCCACGCCAGGAGATTTTGATTCTACAGGCCTGTGGTTTTGAAAGATCCTCACCGGTGATTCTGAATGAGCATCCTCGCATCAATCTGCCTGGAATTCTCCTGTCCTAGGAAGTCCTACCTGCTCCCTCTGTGGCCATGGAAGTCTCCTATTCTCCTGTCTTCAAAAAAATGATTCTACTAACAAATATTATTTTTCTCTGTGGCTGATTAAAGTTCAGATCATGTTAATTATTTTTGTGTCCTTGATGCCTTTCTCAGAGCCTGGCATCCAGTGGGTACCAAATAAATGCTTCTGGAATAAATCAGAGGTTCTCAAACTTTCCTTTGAGTCAGAATCGCCAGGAGGGCTTGTTAGAACTCAGGGCTGGGCCCAGCCCTGGAGTTGCCAGCTCAGTCCCCGCCTCTGGGCGTGGCCTAGACCCTGTATTTTGAACAGTTTCTCAGGTTAAGACTGGTGCTGCTGGTTGGGAGACCACACTTTCCAGGCAGCGAAATAATTAGAGTTTAAATTGTTGAAGCTCTAACTCTTTATTACAAAGTAAAAATTTTTATATGTGATTGAGGGGGTTAGAACTTCACCTTGTTTTTGAATTGTAATTTTTTTTATCATTTCTATTTTTTCCTCTTAAAAATTTTAAGCTCCAGAAATTGAAAAAGAAAATCATATTTCTCCAGTATTAGCTGTCTACAGTGTTTTATTGTTTATTTTTTCTCTGTATGTGAATTCTCTAGACAAAACAATTGAAGATATTTGGGGAGTTTCTGTTGATAAAGAATGTTTTCAAACTTGTATCTTCGGCATTGTGCATACACAGTATGCACAGTCTAACAGTAAATTATCTTTTAACCTGAAGTTTTAGTTTGATTTGCATTTTTGCTTGTTTAGTTAGTTGATTTATTTTGCTCATATTCCTCAAAGGGGGTGAAAATATAAAAGAAGATAGTTACATGCAGATCATGTAACAATATTATGAGTCCAGCCAACACAATTAACAAAGAACTGCTGATTGGTTTGTCTAATTGCCTGAGTCATGGCAGTGTACACTTTTTATTACAAAAATGTATAAAAATTATCCAGTGTATATTTCCAGGAAATTGTATTTCTTTGGAAGAATAGTTGAATCTCCCCCAATACTTATTTAGCTAGAGGTCACACACAGGGGATTAATTTTCCTTATATGTATGTTTTCAACCTAAGAAACTCTTTTGAAGAGTCAAGGATAGCTTTCCTTACTCATACAAAATTATCACAGTATGCTTTCTTCATAAAATAGGCCCTGAAGTTTGGTCCAGCCTTGCAAACAGCCGTTTTTTTTTTGTTTGTTTGTTTTTAAACTTTGGTTTAGTAATAGTTTCTGGTGGTAAATTAATAAAAGATATTGATTTTATTTATTGTACTCCCATGAAAAGGCTGTATAACTGAATTGATGGGATGGAGGATTACTAAAAATATTTTTATAGGGTTGGAAAATAGTAATCTTGTATACAGTGCTGAATTTGACTATTGCTGGAATCTTGTAAACAAACTCTTGCATTGAGTTAGTTACTCTTGAGTGGCTGTTAGTGTCAGTACATTTTTATTGAGTGCACGCCATGTTTGCAGTACTATTTAAGTCATTTTCTATCTGGTAAGTTTTCTGTTTTTGCCTTTTGTGTACTTTTACATGATATAAATGATAAAAAATAAAAATTGGTATAAAAAGTTATTGTCCCAAATACATATATTCAGGTTAAAATTTTAAGATAACATTTGCATACAATGAAAAGCAGAGATGAGATAGATTTTGACAAAGGCATACATTTCTGTAATGCACACTCTTATCAACCAAGCTGGAAACTTTCATCACCTGATAATATTGTAAAAACATCAGGTGGTGATAATGTTTTCATCGCCATGAAAGTTTCCATCAAATCCCTTCCCAGTCAATTCCCCTTCCACAAAGAACCACTGATCCGATTTCTGTTGTATGCTCTCTCTAGGGTCAAGCTTCTTTGAATCAATACAATGCTTTTGAGATTCATCCCTATTGTATGTATCAGCAGTTGGTTCCTTTTAATCAATGAGTAGTGTTCTACTGTACGAGGCATGGGCAAATTTCCGGTCCAGTTGAAGCTTCCCCAATGGAGAGAGAGAACAGGCAGTATCTGAGGGCGTCTTTATTTCCTCCACTCTTCATACATTTAAGCCATTTTTTCCTAGAAGGGCCAACTTTGGACTTCTTTATCAGTATCGCTAAGACCCCACTATTAGATCTGATACTGATAGATCAGAATCTAAATACAGGGCGGAAGACCTGGTATTTCTAGGCAAGCTCACTGAGATACTTAAGACTGTTAATGATTGACACTATTGCTTCAAGCAAACCCTCAAAAGATTAAAGGCTAGAACAAAAAGAAAAGAAAAAAAGTGGCCAAATCGCTCCCAGAAATTTATGCTGATAAACCAAAGTAAGCAGGTTTCCAGGATTAAAACAGCAGCGAACTGTGTGGGGTGAAAGGAACAGGAGTCCCAGGGCTCAGGCCTGATTTGTCCTTGGAGGGGCATAGAGACCTGGACCTGAGCAAGTCACCTTTTACCTCTCTGCACTTAAAAAGAGAGGGTTGGGCGAAACAGAAGGGGGGAGGTGAGAAGGAAAAAAGCAAGACTGTTAGTTTGTGGTGCCTCAAAGGGAGAGAAAACAGATTTCAATTTACCCAGTGAATCAAAGCCATTCCTTGTTTTTCCTGATCACTCTGGTCCCACCTGCTGCCTCCCTGAGGGCTGCGAGCTCACCTGCGTTTCCCCTGTTGTTGCCTCCCAGCAGCAATGTGAGTACAGCTCAAAGGTACAAGAGCAAGCTTATCAGTGCTTCTGAATCACTGGTTGAAAATACAGCCCGAAGAAAGGGGATCTTTTCTCTCATGCGCCGCAGTACGGTGATAAAATGCCAACACGATAAGAACAAGATAAATAATGACAACGATCCCCATGGTGCACCCAAAAATGTCAGGTTGGTGCTACACGCTGTCCAATGAAATGTTTCAGATGATCTAGAGGGGAGTATGTACTTTTCACTTACACAACTAATTCTTTCAAAGTGCCAAACTGTTATGAAACATTTCCACCATTGCAATGAAGTATCTGGCTATCCCCTACTTGCAGTTGCTGCACAGACACTGTACACAGATAAACATACATCTCATATTTCATGTGTCTTTGTCAGCACTGCTTGGGGCACATCTCCTTGGTTGCCGTCTCACTCTAGAGTCCTGAAGTGTAGCGCGCAGAGCGTCTGTGGCTACGCTGTATCAACAAGCTATGCTGTACCAATGCAGCCCCACCCTCTATTCACCTTGAGTCGTTTCCTCTTTCTACGGGGCTCAGAGGGGAGATAAGGGGAGAGGAGGTAACTGAAGCCCTTCTGACCATTATCCTAGCCAGACCTTTCCTCTTCCTCCAGGGAAAAGCTTTTACCCCGGCTTAGATCCCCTGGGTATTTTAGAACACAGGCTGTAGTTCACATTGTTAGTGAAACACAGTCTAACAAAAATACAAAGAAACCCTTATTCAGTGGTCTTACTGTTAGTAGTAATATTGATTTTATTATATTATATTGATATTATTTTGAAATTATTACATGTATTATGCTTATAAACTAATGTGTTACTGTTGTAATTCTGTTGATGATACTGTTAAGAACCATAATTTTCACCATAAGAGAAAGGAGATACGAATATAAAATTTTTAAAAAGTTGTAGGTTACTTTTGATTAAATTTGTTTGACATATCAAATATTCAAATATATTTGAATTTGATATATAAGAATGAATTTATGTTTTTAAGTGTTTAAACATTTTTAATGTTTTAAAAATTTAAAATGTTAAGACACCTTGGGTGTTTCCCCTGAAAAGACCCAGAAGCAATGACAACCCAGAGACGATGTGAATGTTAGTGCCCGAACTCCAAACACGACTTCCCACTGAAAGGAGAGGTCGCTGGTTCCAGGTGTGGAACGGCAAGCGACAAATCAAGTCCGGAACACCTTATTCTGGAAAGCAAGGGAGCTACCCACTGACCAGAGGTGGACGATTTGACTATCAGAAAGAAAAATGACAGCCAATGATTGAAACACACTAATTAAATAAATATCTCCGAATTTTTAATGATACTCAAAAGAAAAAGCCAAAGCAGCTAACACAACTAATTTGTCACTATAGGAGTCTATCAACTCCTTACTCTGAGAATTAGCAATTAAAAAGAATTAAGTCTTAATCTGCCTTTCCTAAGAAAACTCTTATTTGTAAGTTACAAGTAGCTCTAGTTGATGAAGAAAAACTTTTCTTACAGAAGTATTCTAGAGTAAATATCAAGGAATAATAGAATTAGAAAAATCACCATTTTACAATGTCTAATGAAATAATCGATTCAGCCCTGGCTGGTGTGACTCAGCAGACTGAGTGCCAACCTGTGAACCAAAGGGTTGCAGGTTGGATTCCCAGTCAGGGCACATGCCTGAGTTTTGGGACAGGTCCCCAGTAGCTGGTGCATGAGTGGCAAGCACATATTAATGTTTCTCTCCCTCTCTTTGCTCCTATTTTCCCCTCTGTCTAAGAATAAGTAAATAAAATCTTAAAAAAAAAGAAAATAATTGATTCAGGTCATTAACATGTATGGTAGCTAAAACGAAGAAGACAAATATTAATGAGGATCTAGGTATTCTGAGGGACCTAAAATGTCACACTACAACTTTATAACTAGGAATCAGGCAGTTGGATCTACCAATCAATCAGTATTGTTAAAATCAGGGCAAACAGATATTAGGTACTTTGTGGTATGATGTAATTTAAAGTGCATAGGACCACTTGTGAAGTATTCATGCCGAAACTGTAAGCCCTGATCCTAATCAAACCTTCATATGTAACTTCTAGGTTATAGAATCAAAGGAGATAAGAAACAAGTAGAAAGAAATCATCAAAATTCAGAATGTTATGGGACAACTGACACAGTCTTTAAAAAGTTACTGTCTGAGAAACAAGTGATAGGAGAGATAAACATGCCAGACAAAGACCTATCAACAGCAGCAATGAGATTTCCCTTTGTTAGTTAAATCTAGCTCTGCATTTGCATATGTATTGATAGCAAAGGTCGGTGGTTGTTCTGTTGATGACATAGTGCTTCTACTAACTTCTTCTGAAGAATGTAGCTGGCCTGGTGATTCCCGCACCCCTTCCCACATTCTCTGACCTCCCCTTCCCAACTTCATCAAAATCCAGAGGGACCAGTTTATGAAACTAATAGCAACCAGAGGAACATAAACGGACAGAACTATTTCTTAGAACAAATGAAACTTACCTGAAGCAGTCATGGAATTGAGTGGGGGAGGGGGTCACAGAGTCGAATGCTGTAATAAAAAAACAATAATATTGTGGCCAATGATAACAGCTATAGTTACATATGTTGAGATGAAAGTAATCAAATCTCATGCACTGTGATGGAAATCATTGCTGCACTATGCGAGATGGTGCTGTAGGGTTCTAAAACGAAATTTCCCCAAGCTGTGTGCAGAATATTAATAGCTGATTAGAGCTCTCTCTCTAAGTATCAAATATAAGTAGCTCTAATGGGAATAGTCCCAAAATATAAACCCAATTTAATCAGGCCCCTCTGTTTAAAATTCAGAACACATTTATATACATGTACATGAGCGGTATGTCTGTATCTATCCAGTTTCATTTAACTCATACTTACACTGTCAGAATTGACTCATTTAAAAAAATTTAATTGGATGAGTTTCTTAGTGAATCATGGCTGGATGCTGAATGATTACAAGTTAGTGGCAGAGATTAAATATTCTTAAAAGAAATATTATGCTATAAACTAATCTGTAACAAACCATAATCCACCTAGATCAATGATTGTTTCTACTTTTCTTTTGGGGGGGTGTCAGAGATGCTTCTGAGAATCCTATAAATATTTAGGATTCTTTTCAGAGAGAGATGTAAATATGTGGAAAATTAGTCTATGGTTTCAGAGGTGATGCCACCTCCCTTCCGTGGCAGAGTGCATCTTCCAAAGATGGCCACAGTAAGAGCTTCCATTGTACATGTTCTGCAGTGTGACTTGCTGATCTCTCATCAAGAGGTGAAGCCTAGTTTGTCTTCCCTTACTTGTGGGAAGTGATTTGCTGAAACAGAAGAATGCAATAGAAGAAACATTCTGTGACTTCCAGGGTCAGATCATAGGACACCTTGCCACTTTCATCTGGGACTTTTGGAACATTCTTGGGACATGCCCTCTCAGGACACCCCATCTCTGAGCATAGCCACCATGCTGTGAAGGTCACAGACTACAAGTAGAGGCAGCTTAGAGCCAACACCCCATACCAATGGCCAGGTGTATGATGGCACCATCCTGTACACTCAGTCCAGCTGAGCCATCAGGTGATTCAGCTGCAGCCCACATCTGACTGCAGGCCCATCAGAGATGCCATGAGAGCACTGCCCACCTGAGTCCGTTTGACCTATAGAATGATGAGTAATAGTTGCAAATTGTTGTTTTAACCCACTAAGTTTGGGGTAATGTGTTACCTGGCTTTTATTGATATATCAAAAAGAGGAAATAAAGTTAATAGATTGTAGTTAAAAATTCTTAGGCCCAATGATTTACTAGCTTGTATATTTGTGTATCTTATAAAAATCAGTAAGTTTTTACAGCATTTAGATGTGTTTAGATTTGAGCAGTTTGTTTTTTTATTTCATTTAAAAGGGTTTTCCGAGTACAACCAGTAATTCTTGTATATTTGGTATCATTCTACATTAGATTTGGATGGTTCTCCCATTAGACATTGTGGAATGCAGCAATATATCTCTTTCCCTCTATTTTCTCTTCCCTTTTCTTTCCCCACCTTTTCTTTCTGTTTTTCTCTCTACCCTGACCACCCTGTTCATATACATACATAAACCACATATATTACTATATTCTCATTTATATGTGGTCAGCATATCTAATTCTATATCCCCAACCAACTTCCTAACATTGACTGCCTTAATTTTAATAGCAGATAACGGTGTGAGAAAAAACATTTTGAAAATAATTCTTTCTTATGCTTTGACCCAGAAATTTCACTTTAAGATATTTTTCCTTAAAAATGAGTAGTTAATTTAGATAAAAATTTAGTTGCAAGGATGTTTATCACAATATTACATATAACAGGGAAAATTGGAAACGACCTGAATGCACATCAGTAAGAAACTTAATAAATGATGTATATTCCTATGTTGAAGAATACTGTGCAGGGGTTAAAATGAAATAAAACTCATATTTACATGAAAAGATGTTCAAAATATGCAGCTAAGTAAAAATGGAAGAGGCTGCGCACTATGGATAATGACATGTTTCCACAAACAACAATAAAGCACATGTGTATGTACAGGAAGAATTGTAGAATTGCACACCATGTTGTTGAAAGGGGATACCTCTGGGCGGTAGGAGTATAAGCTTTTACTTTTTATTTCCAACACTTTTGTACTATACTGATTACTTTTATAATAGTAACAACTTTAATATGTTTTATTTAAATGGGATATGAGAGAAAAATTCATAAAACAAAAGGTCATAGACTGAAGTTTCTTACTTACTAATTCTAAAAGATTCTTCCCTCTGCATAAAAAGGGAGAATGGGTAGTGGGTCAGTGAATCAATGTCTTCATCTCTAAAACTTGCCCTTTTGGAGTATTCTGTCCTACCTACTGTACCTGGATTATTTCTCTTTGGCACTGTGCTTCCTGTCAGTCATGCTGTTCGGCTTTAGTAATCTTTTCAAAGATTACTAAACAGTTTTTACATGTATATTCTACATTCTCAACTATATTATACATTCCTTGGTTATTGCCTTTTCTTTATACAGATTTATGTGATCAATAATACTTTGTTTGTTGAGGGGC